GATCTGTCTATCTGTCTGTCTATCAGTCTATATGTCTATATTTTCTACTTAATCTTGTAGGCCCTTTTTTCTCTCCAATCCCTTCTGTCGCCCTCCATTGCTTCCACAACCCTTTTCTTCATTGTCTGTGTACAACCCCCCCCCCTCCCCCACCCCCCCCCCCCTCCCCCACCACTTAAAGTTTCGTCATCAGCGACGAGTGTAACATACAGTAACCTGGTCCACCTACTAATGACAGCCTCAGACCCAAAGACAGTGACGTAACAGTGATGTAGCCACGAGGAATGTCCAACTCAAAAGAAAAACAAACTTTCAACAAAGGCGATCTGTGTGCCGGTTTTGCCCAACCCTGTACGCCGAGATCGGCTTGCCAAACCGGGATGATCTTTTGAATAAGACAAGCCTTGAAAGCAAAGTTGTGAGGGGGCTTGAAGTTAAAGGAGGGCAAAAGAAAAGAAAGTCAAAGTAAAACGGAATACGGAGCTTCGGTGTGTGGGAAGTAATGTGTTGAGAGAGAGAGAGAGAGGGGGGGGGGGGGAGAAAGTGTGGGATCGATACTTCTTCCTATATTCCTCCTCTCATCCCACCTACGGAAATAAGTCGCTCGGTCGTGTCTATAGAGTTGGGAACGAGATAAAGAATGATCTGTGGATATGTAAAAGACTGGGAACGCTGTAATTTGGAATAACATTAAAATCACTTTACAAAGAAAACCTTGCAGCTTTGGGTACTGTTCGAACGTAAGGCTCTGATCTGTTTCTTAAATACATCTTTTCCGATTCGAACTAAAAACGTTGTTTTTTTAAAATGAGTTTTCCTGTTTGCCGTAGATCCCACTTCTAAACAGAAGTCTCCAGGATAGAAGTCACTCTATTTTACTTATATTCAAAAGACATGAGCTAGATTCCATTGTGAGAAAAATATTGTATGGATTATTTCTGTCTCTCTGTTGAACTGTGTCCCACACTGTCCTTTTTGAGGCCTCTTGGCAATAAAAAATCCGTCTGCAATATAAATAATCTTAAATGATTAATCGATGGCGGTATAAAAACCGCCGCAATAATAAATGGACAAGAATGATGCTGCACCTGTCCCGCCTCCCAGTTCTATGGAGTTACTCCCCGTTCCGCACGAAGTAGTCGCACAGGTTACCGACAGCCCACAGACTTCAGATGCTAAAGGTGCGCCCTGTTCCCGCCACAAACCCCCCTCTTTCCCCAGGCCTGGCGTGTGTCGCCGCGCGCGGACCGTCACATTCACTGGCAAGGGACAGGCTTCCCGCGGCCTGCGACCGAAGAAAGGCTTGTCTGCCCCTCTCGCCGATCCGAGTGGTGAAATTGTCGTCACTACTACCACCACCACTACCAACACCACCGCTTCTACAGCGCTTTGAGCCGGTCGGAAGATATTTTTGTCATGATAATCATATTTAGCCGAACCCAACCCAGTTGTGTTAGCTGCCTGTGTGTCTGCGTGTGCGTGTTTGTATTTGTGTTCGCGGGTGTGTATCGCGAAGAGATCTTTTCCCCCCTCTGCTCTCTCCCTCGTTTCTGAATGATTGGTTATTCGTGTCGCGCGGTCTGCACAAGCAAAGGGTGTAGTGCAAGCTGCCGGGTATCGTGGTGAATTCAAGATCTAGATCTACCTTTTAGGGGTTTCGAGTCGCTTCTGTTTTTAGTAATCCGAGACTTCCATCTGTTCTGTGTTGTGGTCGGATACCTGTGTTTTCAATTGTGTTTTCACTAGTTTCAGTAAGGCACGTCCATCGTTTTTCTCGCTCAGGTGTTCCGTGTTTTTCCTCGTGTGCTACCTTCACTGTGGATCTAGATCTAGACAGTTATGGAACTTTCTGATTATGTATTGGGACTTTCTTGAGTGGTCTTGGTGTTCGGTGAATTCGTTCCATTTCGTCTTGAACTTAAATATTTCAATTGGATTTTGTTGTATTTTCCTTTTTTTCCATTCGCTGTTTGTGTTCTGATCTGGGATTGCCGCCTCTTTTGTTGTCGTGGGCGTATCTTGAGAAAAAGAATTGTTCTTTTGTTCTCACTTATTTTTCGAATTGATAACGTCATGAGACGTGGACTGGGGATAGAGTTCTTTGTCATCGGAACTGTTAAGCCTCTGTGTTAGGGCTGTTTCTGATGAGAAAATAGCATTGGACAGATGCGCTCTAAGAATGTTGTTGTTGTTGTTGTTGTTGTTGTTGTTATTGTTGTTGTTTTTAAGCCTCATTTGCCAGAGTTTTTATTTTAAAGAATTAAAATTGTTCAATAGCGCTTTTGGAAACATGCCTCACCCCCATCTCAATCTCCTTTCCGACTCATACACCACCCCTCCCTCCTTCCGACCCCTACACGCACGCACAAACACACAAACACTCATACACACAAACAAATTCACTCACGCTCACACACATACACACGCATTTGTCCAAAGCACACCAAGCAAAAAAGGAGAGATATTATTGCAATAATGAGAATAAGTTATGTCGTTGTTAAGCTAGAAGTCGCAGTACCAGCTGCCGAATAATGGTATATAATTTCAGTAGATGGATTGTCCTATTGGAACACCTGTTGTCCCTACTGAACGGCGAAACAGGGAAATGGTCTCCCCGTACCGCCGTATCTGTTGCCAAGTGTGTTGTCGGTTTCGTGGAATGTTATTGTGCTCGCTGTTCACTCTTACTTCGAACGTCTGTCCCTCACCCCTTGCTTTTTCGACGACACATACCCACAGGACAATGATAAGCTCAGTAAAGATAAAAGATGTTTACAGCATAATATTGTTTCTGTTCCTGACTCTAGCCATTAGTCCGACCCCATGTGAACCCGAATGGCTTATCGTAACCTTTTTAACTTCATTCGTAAAATGTTAAACTTACACTCACCGGTTGGCACACGTTTACCAACAATATTGACAAATTTATCTTGTAGGTAATCTACGCTAGAAACAATGAAAATTATTTTGACCAGAGAGCAGTCTCTCTTCAGACCACATGGGTGGAGCAGGAAAAAAGTTTCGTAAATGACGAGAATTAGCGGAGCCCCGTGAGATTCGAACTCGAAACATACACGTGCTGGCCAAGTTCATAGCCAATCATGAAAGAGCAGCCGACAGAGTATTGATTAATGCAATGACCTGTGGCGTGGTGAAGCTTTTTTTCCACTTAGAATAAACGAATGAGTCTCGCGCTCTGTTCGATTTTCCTTCTCCTTTGAACAGCGAGAGCTCAGTGTGTTGGGGGTTCTGAATGCCTCTCTCACTACCGCTCTAAAAGTGCACTGTATTTATTGATAAGAGCATACTACATTATTTCTGCGACGTTTTGTTGCTACACAGTCTCTCTCTCTCTCTCTCTCTCTCTCTCTCTCTCTCTCTCTCTCTCTCT